GGTGGTGGCTGCGCGCGCCCTGACCGGCGCCGATGGGACGTGCCCGGAGCGCGCGCTGGAGCGGCGCGAGGAGGAGGCGAACGTGGTGCTCACCGGCACCGTGGAGGAGATCCTCAACGTGGACCCGGTGCAGCACACGTACTCGTGCAAGGTGGGCCCCCGCCGGGACCCCCGGGATCCTGAGCCCTCTCCGAACCCTCCTAGAAGCCTGGATTGGTGGCTTCTCCTCTCCGCGATTCTGGCCCCTAACCCGGAGGCCCTCCCCTTGCGATGCCTGCCGCCCCGCTGAGACCCCCGCCCCAGGCCGTGGGAAAGAGCCCCAGACGCTCCGCAGCGCCGGCTGTCGCTCCCTTGGCGACCGCCGACCCCCGGGTGGGGCACCGGGTCCGGGAAAACTCGCAAGTGCCGGAGGCAAAGTTCTTGCGGGGCCGCTGCAGTCCCACCTCGCGGTGCCCAGGCCCCGGGACCCGATCACGTCTGCCCCTTCACCCCAAGCCCACTCCCTTATTGGAAAGGACTGTGCCTTCCCTAGCGAGAATGAGAATGTCCGGCTACCGCACCCCCTTCCTACTAACCAAAGAAAAGGAATTAAGGACGAGGGGAGGTGACGCTTTCTGCTTGGGGTGGAGGTAGGGGTTTGGCCTGTGGTCAGTGCTGTCGCCCCCTCCCCAGAGGCGAGAAGAAGTGATCAGGAGAGAGGAGGGGTGACATTTAATCTTCCCACCCCAGGGAGCCTGGTGGGGCATGCTGCAGTGACAGGGTGTGGGGCAGGAGCAGAGAAGTGGGCGGGGCCGTTACTGAGCCTGAAGTGTTGGGGTGCAGGGGCAGGTGCCCCATCCTGCTCCTGGGAGAACGGGATCTTCCCTGGCCACAGGGAAGGGGGCTTGCCAGGCCTCTCTTTCAGTTGGAGCCTGGTGCTCCCTGGGATAGATATAGTGGGTTTTTACCCACAATCTGTTCCCAGGGAAGGCTCGAAAGACCCAGGACTGGACCTGCGCTGGACCCCTAAAACCACCTCCCCAACCAGAAATCGAATCACTCCTCCTTCGTGGAGATGGGGAGGGGTGGTAGCTTCTTTCCGACTGCCCTGTGTGGGCTACATCTGGGATCCCCTGCCGGGCCCCCTCCCCTCCACCACCGCCAGGGCACTTTGCCAAGTCCCTGCAGGATTTTCCCGACTTCCTCCCCGCTGCTCCTGGGTGTGGCTGGGGTGGGGGGAGGCTATGAAAGCCGCTCAGCCCTCTTCTGCGGGTTATCGTCCTTCTAGAGCCTACTGTGTGTCTGAGGGTGGGGAGAGAGAGTTGGCCAAGGCTCCCCGCACCCCCCCCCCCCCTTGGGTCACTGGAGGGTGGAAGGAGTCCCTGCAGATTCTGCAGACCCCCCCCACCCGGAGGCTCCCAGCAGGGGCCAGGCAGGTGGACAAGCCACCATTGTTTTTCATTCCCCAATCCAAAAGTTCTGGCCCCCCAGAGATCCTGAAGAGAGGGGCATCTTTTCAGGGACAGGATGCCCCGGTGCATGTCCCCATGGACCTGTTCCTTTGGGGCAGCCCGTTCTACCAGCAGCTCTTGCGACCCACCTGCCCCCAACCCCTAGTAGGCTGTGGGCATCCCAGGCCCTGGTTTGTCAGATCAAGTGCCCTCAGGGCTCCAAGAGTGGAGTGCTGAGGGTGGGGCTGCCCTGTGCTGCCCAGACTTGACTTTGTGGTTCACAGGCTGCCTTGACTGCACTCACCGTAGGAGCCTTGCAGGAGGAGGGGTCTTTCACCTCCTGGAGGAGGATGGTGTCTTGGCCTGTCCGCAGGGCTGCACGGAGCCAAGCTGGCCCAGAGCCCTGAGCTCAGAGCCCATCACCCTGAAACTTCATCATCTGTCTTAGCGGCTCCTGGCTCTGCCCAGGTGTGGGCCTGAGTAGTGGGTGGGTCCATGGGGAGAGTGGGGCTTGGAAGGCAAGGACCCCAGGCCAGGTGGGTCCCCTTCCCATATCCAGCCCGAGCTGAGATGGACGTTATTGGGATTGGGTGGCTGGGGTCACTTAGACCTGAGGGTTGGAGGAGCTCCTTCTTGAGGGAGGAGGTGTGTTTACAGGCCATATGTCCTAGTGTGTGATATACATGGACAGTAGCATCCGTCGTGTGTGTGCATGTGTGTGTGCATGTGAGCACACAGCTGCTTCCTTACAGCTGCTTCTTGGGGGGTTGACACATCTGCCCAGGATTTGAGTCTACTCTGGATGTCTGGTCTGAGCCAGCTGAGGTGGGAAGAGGAGAAGATCCAGGCGCCAGTCTGGTGTTTGCCTCTGGCCTCTGTGGGCCCCTTTCCCCAGTGGGAAGAGGATCGCTGATACCTATGCACACCCCCCCATGTCCGTCCCAGGTTCGCGTCTGGCGGTACTTGAAGGGCAAAGATGTGGTGACCCAGGAGAGCCTGCTGGACGGAGGCAACAAAGTGGTGATTGGCGGCTTTGGAGACCCCCTCATCTGTGACAACCAGGTGTCCACTGGGGACACCAGGATCTTCTTTGTGAACCCTGCACCGCCATACCTGTGGCCAGCCCACAAGAACGAGCTGATGCTCAACTCCAGCCTCATGCGCATCACCCTGCGGAATCTGGAGGAGGTGGAGCACTGTGTAGAAGGTGTGTGGGGAATTCTTGTCTGGTAGAGGGCAGCCGAAGCGGGCAGACTCGAGAGAGGTGCCTTGGGGGCAGAGGAGGGTTTGTTATAGGCTTGAGCACATGGCGTCTTGTGGTCTGATCGCCTTTGCTGGGTTCTGGCTCCCTGGCTTCCCGGCTGTCTCAGCTCCAATTTCTGACATAAGCTGGGGTCCCCACCCTGGCCACCAAGGTGCCACCATCTTTCGCCTTGGAGCCAAGCAAGTCCCAGCCCTGCAAAGGCACAAGCCTCCTTCCTTCCCCTCCCCCTCCCCAGCCCTGCACACCCCTTCCTGGCATCCCCTTTTCTCGGACAGAGGCTGGGACCAGGTGAATGAACATCAGTTGTTTGTGTTCTTCAGAAGCCCAAATATCTGTCTAGATGGGGCCCAGATGTTGAGCAAACCCCTTGGGGTGGTGTAGAAGGATTGTACTGGAGCAGGGGCTACCCCGTTGTGCGTTCCATGGGGCCTGTCATTTCTGGGAAGGAGCAGTTATGTGGAGTGGGGTGCTTCTAGGAGTTTGAGTGGGTGTGGGATTCTAATGGAGGTGAAGGACTTTTTCTTGTCTGCCATCCCAATGTATCTGTTCCCAATGGCCCAAGAGTGCCCCTCCCCCACCCCAGCCTCTGAGAGGTAAGCAGGAATCACATGACTAGGGCTCACTCAACCCCTCACCCTGGGAGAATCCCAGCTGGGGGCTGAGATCCTTGGCTGGGGTATGTAGCAGGGAGAATGTAGGAACTGCCCATTGCCCCCACATCCTGTTACTCCCCTCGGTGGCTGGCTGGGAAGGGCTGTATGGGAGGGGGTGGAGACAATGCTTCCTCCCCAGGGCAGGGGGAAGGGTCCCTGACTTCCTGTCCTGAGAAGGCGACCCTGTTCCTCTGATTTGCTCTTCTGGCCAGCAGGCAAGCTCCAACTTCTACCCAACTTACTGCTGTGATGCTGGCTTGGCTCTTGTGGGGTCCTGGATAGTGGACTCATCTGGCCTGGTGAGGCCTGTGCAGGGGGCGGGACAGGACCTGAGACAGGGTGCCCCGTAGCGGCTTGCTCATCCTGTGGTCAGTTGCTCCTGGGGCTGCATCCAGGGTCCCGGGCCACAACATCACACAGAGAGGTCACATAACACAGCAGGGCTGTGTCCCTGGTCCCTTCCCAGCACTAGCTCAGCTAAGGGCTCCCAGCATGGCCCTCCCACCAGGTGAGGACAGGAGACCCTGGCCCTGCTCTGGAAGACTGTGGTCTAGGGAAAAGCCAACAGGAAGGTGGCATGGAGATGGGGCAGGCCATGGGGTGGTGATGCCCAGTTTTGGGGGATGAGTTGAGGGCTAAGGAGTGACTGGAGATGAGGGGTCAAGATCAAGAAGGTGAACCATCAACTCTACAGCCAAGCGGGTGCAGCCCTAGGGGCTATGACTTAGTAGCTGAGGCCTTCTGTGGGATCAGAGGGCATGTGGCAGGAGGGCCACCTCAGACAGAACAAGATTTGCTGTCTTACCAAATCCTGCTCTACCCAGGCCAGGCCTTGGCTCTGAGTGTTGGGCTGGAAAGAGGGATGGCTGGAAAGAAGGGCCTACAGGGAGAGCCCCCAGCCAGAACTGGGTGAAACTTGACCTACTGTGTGCTGGCTGCCCAGGATAGGGACCAGTGTAGGAGCCAAGCTCCAGCTGGGCCAGGGGGGTGGGGTGGGTGGGTTGGGGCAGCAGGGGGCTGAGACCTACAGGCTAGTGTGTAGCCATGAGGTCAACACCTAGGAGGGGCTGAGGCCACCAGACTTTTCTGGGGTGGGCCCGCCAGGAGGAGGGTTCTGGGGAAGGGGGTTTAATGGAGAGGAAGGAAAAGAGAAGTAGCCTTAACTATGGCTTGGGGCCTTGTGGTGGAGTCAGGGTGGAGGAGAAGCCCCAGGGAGGGGAGGGGCCCTGAGTGAGAAGCAGAATCCACTGTAAGGTGCTGGGCAGCCTTGGATGTTTTGAGCCCCAGGACATGGATGTCTTCTTTGGAAGCACACCAGGGCACAATGAGGGGCAAGGGGCTGGGAGGGTCTAGCTCTGGGGACAGAGGATGTATCCCAGGGACCTGGGTTAGATGGGGGTGCCTCCCCCTTGAAGCTCCCCAAGGCCTGAAGGACAAGGTCCCCAGGAGCTAGGGCAGGTTTGGGGAAGGAACAGCCTTATCCCCACCTCCCCCAGCAGGGTGGGGATGGGAGGAGGTCCCGCCTCCCATTCTGTAGGAGATAAGGGGCTTGGACCCCACCCCAGGCTCTCCAGGGAGTCAAGGCCTCACCCTAGTGAGGGGGAGACAGATGGGCAGGGCTTGATCTAGGATGACCCTTCCCCATCTGACTCTGACCCCATTCTCCTCAGGACCCCACAGCTGTGCCAGCCCCACAGGGCCCAGTGTGAAGGCTGGGCAGCCACTAATCTGTGGAGGTCATCCCAAGACCACCGGAGACCACCTGCACAGAGAGCCCCTGTCCCTGTCACACCTCTCCCCCACCCCCAAAAAGGCTAAGGTCAAGGGGCACATCCTTCCAGGCCCACCTCCCTGGTGCTGCCCTTGGCGGCCCCCACCTCATCCCCTCCTGGGCACTGCTCCCTGCAAGCATCCTGAAGGGGCACCTGCTGCTGCGTCCCCAGCTCTACTAGGACTGGCCTTCCTCAGTTTCTCCCCAGGGCCTGCAGGGTCTTTCTGGCTCTGGGCCCCTTCCCCAGCCTCCAGCCCCAGGAAGCCCCTCCTCCTCCTCCCCCACCCTCTGCCTGGGGAGCCACATTCCTAGCATAACTGAGACAGGTATGTGTCCCTCCCTGTGCGCCACCTTTGGGTGAGGGAGACCTGCTGCTCTGGAGCAGCCTCTTCTGGAAGGGGACCCCTGCCCCTGCTTTGTCAGGGACGTGGCCTGGCCTCTTCCAGTGCCAGCTGCCCACACACCGTGAACCTGCCCAGGCTGGCAGCTGAGCGGGCATCTCCTCCAGCCTTCGAACACTGTGCCCTGGCCTGGGCTCTGTCCACACACTCCCACCAGCCCCACCTCTTGAAGACTGGTCCTGGGGCCTCCCTGAAGCCTGTAGGAAGGATGTAGGCCTGGGGCCCTTCCCTGGTCCTTTCCCTCCCCACTAGGAGCCAGGAGCAGAGAAAGGAAGTGTTGTCTGCCCTTTCTGGGCCTGGCACAGGGACAGGGTCAGAGTGAGTCTGGCAGTGGCCCAGCCTAGCCCTGCCCTGCCCAGCCCTGTAGCTAGGGGTCTTGGCACCCACACTCCTCGCCCTAGCCTGGTCCGGCTGATTCCGGCAAGCACCCTCCCTTCCTCCCTGCCGAGCCAGCTGTCCAGGGCCTTCTGGAAGGCAGTCCTACAGCTCAGGCTGGGTCCCTGCCCCCCAATCCCCACCCCCGCCTCTGCAGACACCCCCAGACAGGGACTGGCTCTCCACAGAGGTTGGGGGCAGGTGGAAGTCCAGGGGGAGGTTTCTGGGCTAGCTCCCTTAGAGCTGGGGGCACTCCCCAATTCCTCTGGGCCTGCCCTACTTCCTCCACATTCCTCCCTGTTGAGGTGGGAGGTGGTTTCTCCCTGTTCCTGTTTCCCTCTAGACTGTGGGTTCTCACTCCACCCCCTACAGACCTGCCCATGCCCTGCCTGGCCCCTCCCCTAGGCAGGTCGGCCTAGAGGAGGCAGGTCCAGGCTGGAGGCTGCCCAGCCACCGGGGCTTTCTCTTCCTTCCAGCAGCTGGGGGTGGGGCATCTGCCCAGGTTGGGTGTGACCCCTCGCTGCACTGTCTGCTCCCCAGCTGGGGGTCCCTGGTAGGAAGTCAGCATGAAAACGGACTTGTACCGGCTTTGACTTGCCCAGGCCCACCCACCATGTGCTGGCTTCCTCGCTGGGGCATCCCTGGGGAATGGGGGTGGGGAGTGGGCTTTGTTCCTGAAACCAAAGGGCTTTGGATCCTGTCACTCCCTCTGGGATGCGCTCCTTTTGGGCAGGAATGAGCAGGTGGAAACAGCTCTTGGCTTTTTCCAGACCCCACCCCATCCCCCTGCTCCCCACCCAGAGAAAAGCTCCAGCCTCCATCCTCCCCTGCAGATTGGAAATGGAAAACAAAAAGTTGTTTCGAAACTGTCCTCCCCTCTTTCTCTATCTACACTGGCCTCCCCCAGGGTGCTGGACAGAGCATATTCTGGTAGGGCCTGCTCGTGCCCTCACAGCATCTCTGGGTGCTGGGGCCCACGGTGCACAGAAGAGGAAACAGCAGATCACCTGGCCAGGGCTAGCTGGCCTAGGCCTGGGGCTACAGCCCCCTGCCCTGGCCAGTCCTTACAGGCTGAGTTGGAGGGAGTGCAGATGGTGGGATGGGGCTGTTCCAAGTAAGGTTAGCCAGAGAACGGGCCCAGACTTTAGCGCCTTGGGTCCAGCCAGAGATCATTCTCACCATCCCCCTGCCACAGTCAGGCCAACACAGCCTCCTCCAGCCTGCTCCGCTTCCTTTCTGAAGGGTTAATTCCCCCAGCCCTTTGAGAATCAAAGCCTGCCCCCACCCCCATCCCCACAGGAGGGTGGAAAACAGCTGCAGAAACTGGCCTCTCTCCTGCCCCTGCCCCGAGTCCTTTGCCTCCACCTGTGGGACCCAGGCCAGCTGCCCTCTCCCATCACCAAGTTCTACCCTTGCCTTGAGGCCTGGGGGTTGGGGGGCTTGGAGAATGGGCTCCCTTTCCTGTCCTGCTCTCCTGGCCCTAGCACCCCCTTCACCATTGGGATGGGGGAGCCATGGCTGGGTAGGGGCTGCAGGCACAGTCCCTGAAGTCGCTCCAGAAGCACTTGACACTCCACCCCAGAGTCCCAGGAAGTGCCCACTTCTCACCAAATAGAAAAAAGAATCCCAGAAATGAGACAGCACCCCAGTGACAATCACCCTGATGACAGTGACACAGCTCCTCAGAGGAGGGCACTGCGCCCCCATGGGCTACACCTGAGCTTAGGAGGGATCATGTTCTAGTTCCAGGCTGTGTCTGGGAGCTGGGGGGAGGGTGACTTAGGCCCCTGGTGGAGCCTCCAGTGGGGAGGGAAGCTCCCCTCAAAGGGGCCTCTCCCCCCAGAGCAGATCCTGAGAACTTCCTCTGAGGAAGGCCCCCTGCCAGGGGCTGCTTACAGCTGGACCTGGGAAGAGGAAGATGGCCCCGCCCAACTCCCCTCCCCCACATGGCTTAGAGACGTGGGATGGGGGAGCTCTCTGTCCTCCCAGGCAGCCAGCTGTTTCCAGCTGTGTGGCCTGCACATGTGCGTGTGCATGTGTTTGCATGCATGTTTGCCCACGTGCCTGCAACCTCAGGTGTACCAATCTGCACACGGGAATTCTGGTTCCGTGGCCTGTGGTTCCTGCCATCTTTGTTTCTCCGGGCTCAGCCTGGGGAGGGGACCCTGTAGGTGCTCTGCCAACAGACTGATAGTGGGCAACCCTGGCTTGTGTCCCAGGGGCCTCAGAACAGGGCTCCAGGTCCCATCTCTTGCCCGCTGCCCCAGTGTCCAATGCCCCCCCCCCCGCCTCCATAGCTGGCAGAGGTCTGGGCACCTCCTCCTGCAGGGTCTGCCTCTGGGTCTCTCAGTGCCAGAGATGGAAATGCTGTGGTAGGGACAGGAAGAGTCCCTGGGGCCACTTGGGTTCCCTGTCCCCTCTCATGCCTGACAGACCCTGAGTCTGACGCAGTCAGGAAGCCAAGCAGGGCAAGTCGGGAGAGGTGGGTCTGCCACTGGCCCGAGGTGGGCCAGAGATTTCCCTGCCTCTCCCTTAGCAGCTGCCCCTGGGAGAAGCAGGCAGCCTGGTGTGGCTGCTGGAGGCGCCAGTCCCTCTGCGCATTGTGTGTGGTCCCCGTGTACATCAGAGAGAACTAAGAGCACAGATATCTGGGCCAGACTGTGGCATGTCCCTGGGCCACCGGTCAGGAGGGGCTGTGTGCCCACTTCTCTTCCTGGAGGGGGAGGCACTGAGGCTGGCTAGGCTCCATTCACGAATCCATCCATTGGTTTCCTCCTCATCCACGCATTTACTCACTCATTGGCCCAGCAGCCAATCCTCACAGGGTCACTGGAAGGGACTGCTGCTGCCACCTGCACAAGGTTCCTCGAGGTTCTGGATGGGCTTCCCAAGGAGGCCAGGGGTGAGCTGTGTGTTGAGGAGTAAAGGTGAAGGGGGAAGGGCATTCTGGGTATGAAAACAACATGACAAGGTTTGAGGGTGCAGGGAGCAGCAGGCAGTCCCTGTAGCTTAGGTGAGGGGTGGGAGAAAGTGGCTGCGGGCGTGGTGCAGGGGAGAGGGCTGGAAACCCACAATCAAGGGCCATCACCCACTGGCTGGGAGGGTGGTATCCTCCCCTCTGAGCTGAAGCCTCCCCACCTGATGCTGCACCTTTCCTGCTAGTCCTGCTCACTCTCCCCCAGGGAGAAACTGCCTGCACCCTGGCTGCCTCCACAATCTCTCTGTCCTGTGTCTGGTCATCTGCCTTTGTGGTTCTCTGCTTTCCGGTGGGTCTCTCCGCCCCTTTGTTCCCTGCCTCTTCTGGTTCCAGTTTGTGTCCGTCCGTCCGCCACTCCTCTTCATCCTGACACCTAGCTGGTCGACACCTCTATGAAGCACCACCCACCAACTCAGACCTTTGTGCTGGACCGTGCATCCCTCACTGCCTACCTGTGGGTGCCTGTGGCCCTCGACAGGGGTCTCCTGACTCACCAGGCACGGACCACACCTGAGTGCCACCCTGGCTCCCCCAGCTTTCTCTTTCCTCCCAGACATGGGCAGGGCCTGGACAAGTCCCAGAGGTGGACTTGGGGCTGTCCTGGAGGGGAGGGACAGAGGGCATGGACAAGCTCCACCCTATCGTACCTTTTCTCCAGGTGCCCAGTCTCCCCCTCTTCTGTCCTGCTGGCACCCCCTGGTGGCTGCAGTCTGACCTGGCAGATGTCCAGGCCCTCCTGCCAGGGCTTCCCAGGCCTGAGGATTGTGGGTGGCTCCTTATCTCCCACTGGTAGCCCCTGTTGCCCTTAGGCCTCACCACACTGACCCCTCCTGGTCTCCGGCAGCCTTCCTAAGTCTGTTCTCACCTGAGCCTTTGTAATTGCCTCTGTCTGGAGGTGCAAACCCCTCTTCCCATCATTCAGGTCTCTGAACAGATACACACTCCTTAGACTCTCCAATCTATTGCACCTTCTGCCACAGTGTAACCTCCCTGAGGGCAGGGAGCTTACCCGATTCAGGACACACTTCCTGCACTTAGCCCACCGATGGAGGAGCTCAGACAGGCTGGTGAGGGAGGCACGGACCTGGGCAGGATCAGTGCTGAGTAATGAGGGAGGGAGGGGTGCCAGAGGTCAGCTGCCCACAGCTGCCTTCCAAGCGGCCAGCGATTGCTGCCCTATGAGCCAGCCCTGCTGAACCCCTTCCCCAAAATCGGCAGCGCCAGCTAACTGACAGAAGTGTGGGCCCTGCCTGGTGGCTGGTGGGTGGGCATGGGCGCCTCCCAGCCTCACCTGGGTTGGTGATCCCAGGCCTGGGCCAGACGCTTCCTCCTTCCCAGCGGCTGGCCCCGGTCCAGCAGGGACGTCCCGCTGTGAAACGCCCATTGTCTACTGAGGCCGAAGGGGAGGGGAGGGGACGGCCCTAGCCTGAGAGCGGACACCAGGAGGCCTGGAATGGAGGGAGGGGGGCCTGCCCAGCCGGGCCGTCTTCCCCTCCCCACCGGGGAGGCCGGACACCTATGACTCTGGGCCGCCTGGCAGCCAGCGCTCCACCGCTCGATGCGCTTCACAAGCAGTGTACCCTCTAGATCCCAGGGGTGGGGGCAGGCTGACGGCGCGCTCCGCCAGACCCGCGGAGGTGCCGCTGGTCGCGAGACTCAGACAGCAGAGGGGTGTGCGCATGCGCGATGTGTGCACGCCGCCGGGAGGGCGGTGCCGCCTCACCCCCAACCCATCCTTTCGAAGAGAGCTGGTCCCAGACCTTCTGGAATGAGGAGGTGTCTGCATAAGAAAGAGGCCAGCGGGTGGCCAGTAGGTAGGACACCCCATGCTCTCTAGGCTACACTCCCCACCTTCCTTCTCAGGGCCAGGGAGTACGTGGAGGTGCCCAACCACACGCGTGTATGTGGGGTCACACCCAGTGTGTGTTGTGAGGATGAAGGACAAGCTTTGTATTGCATGAAGGTGTGAATGTGATGCCCAGTGTGTACGCGTGCAGGTGAGCGTGGAGGGAGTGACACCCAGTGCCTGTGCAAACTTCAGCAAGTGGGTGTACATATGTCTGCAGATGAGACCTCATTGAGTGTGTGTGTGTGTGTGTGTACACATGTGAGCAGTAGCATGTTGATGTCTGCAAGCCCAGATAGGGGCTGATCTCTGGTCCAGAGTATCCTCTGTTCCTGGGGCATGAGTCTGGGTGGGCTGGTCAGGGCTGAATGATTTTGAGTCTGAAAATCCCAAAATAGCTCGGATAGCCCGAGCTCCCCTCCCCCTGCTGGGTCTGGGGCCTCAATGGCCCTTTGTCTCTCTGAAGGCGCCCAACCCCTGTGGGGGCTCAGACTGACTGGAGCTGGGAGGGACCAGGCTGCCTGCTGGTTCCCCTTTCCCCAGGCCAGGCCTGATAGGCCTTAAGCCCCCCCCACCACGTGGGCATCTAAGGCCAGCCCATTTGTGGGCAGATCCTAGGCTCTGGTCTCTGCCTTGTGGAGGAGGAGGTCTCCCCTACCAGGGGTGGAGCCCACTGATGGAAGAAACCCCCCCCCACTCTGGTCCTTTGCCTCCCCCTCCTCCTGCAGAACCCACTCATGATGTCCCACAGCTGCAGTGGCAGCAGCAAAGAGGGACCATGTGTGGCTGTGGGCCCAGTGGGCATTGCCAGGGCTTTAACTTGTCTGTGGGCCCCTCCTTGAGCCAAGGGATTTGGACTGCAGTCCTGGGAGCTGCAGTGAGAAGTAAATGGGAAATGTGTCACTGTTGGGCTCACCACACCAAGTCCTGGGCTCTGGGCCAAGCCCTGCCCTGAGGAGATAAAAAGTCAGACCCTGCCCTGGGTGATCCCAGTCCAGGCCAGCACCCTGGGAGCTGCCGCCACAGTCAGTGTGGTGTGGGCAGTGCCAAGGTGAGGTGAGGTGAGGTAGGGAGTGGGAGGCTCCCCAAGGAGAGGCTGAGGCTGTTCGGGTGCCAGGGTCTTCAGGTGGCCTGACAGATTGCTGCTCTGGGTCCAGCACTGTGTGGGGTCGGGGGACCATTTTGTGTTTTGCCTTTTCCTGCAAGGTTTCCGTAGAACCTCAGGTTTCAGGGCTCCAAGGGGTCTGACCTCTGCCGTGGGTGATGGGAGACCGTGACAGGGTCGGCTGACCCCTTTGGGATTTGGTGCCTGGCCAAGAGATGGAAAAGAGTCTGAGGGAGATGGACCTGGCAGAACTGGGCACTGGCTGGCAGGTGCTTTTCCCACCTGAGGAAGGTTGGGATGGGACATGGAGAGCCCACTTGACTAGGCGGGAGTGAGCGGGGCGAAGAGGGTACTCCAGGGACATGTTGGTGAGGCACCGGGATATGGTGGGGAGGACCTGAGTCCCAGGTGGGCCGTGGGCCCTGGCCTGCTGTGGCGTCACAGCCCCGATGTTCCCAGACGACCGGTGGGGGCGCCCCAGGCTCGCGGACTGGGTCTAGAGCCCCTCGACTATTGGCATAACGCTTATTTACATGAAATTCATTTGCATGTTCCTCCCACCGCGAGGGCTGGAGTTGGGGGGTGGTGCGGGGATGGTTTGAGGTGCTGCTGTCAGTTCCTAGGCAGGGGTGGCCCACCCTCCCAGTTGAACCCAGCCCCCCCCCACCTGTGTGTACGTACCTAGAGACCCTACCTCGACACTGCCACGATGGGGCCAGCAGGAGCAGAGACACTGACACGCACACCCGGTAACATGCAGACCGCAGCCCAGAACGGGGTCCTTCGTGCAGACCAAGCCCCCATACGGGGACTCAGACAGACCGTCCGACACTCCTCATGCTCGCCTTGGCCTCGGCCGCTCACGCGCACAGCCAGCCCAGTCCCCGCCCCGCCGGGTGGGATCCGGAGGGGTCCCGGTCCCTGTGCCAGCCCCTCTTACCCATTACACGCCCCCACTCCCCAGCCCCCCACCCCGCCCCAACACCTGCCTCCTCTCCAGCTCCAGCCTCCGATCCTAGTCACCTCCCACCCCAAGCCGGGCCCCTAGCCTAACCCTGCACCCTC